CCCCTGCCCCTTCTCCTGCCCCTGCCCCTTCTCCTGCCCCTGCCCCTTCTCCTGCTCCTGCCCCTGCCCCCCGGGGACCATGGGATGCTGCACCGGGCGCTGCACCCTGATTTTTCTCTGCACTTTGCAGCTGGTAAGTGGAGGCGCTCCGGGAGAAGGGGGACGTTGGAAGGGGGGGGAACGGCGGAGAGCTTAGGGGTTCGGAGCCCCGGGACGGGGACGAGGGACAAAAGCCACCCCCAGCGCCTCCGTGGACGTTGCCCCGCGGCTGGGGCAGGATCCCGGGCCCCCGCCCCATCGTCTCGGAGGAAGAAGGTTGGAGGGATGGGGATGTCAGGGTGCGCCCCGGGACGCTTTGCTGCGCGGGGGGGACTTAGTGATGCCTAAAGCTCGGAGAAAGGTGTATGAGGGGGAAAGTTCTCAATTAATACATTTGTACTTGGAAAATACAACAACAACAGCAACAAAATAGAATTACTTTGTGAAAGGAGTGCTGGAGGTCTCGGTGGAGATGTTGCAAAGCAAAGCAAAGCAAAGCAAAGCAAAGCAAAGCAAAGCAAAGCAAAGCAAACCAAACCAAACCAAACCAAACCAAACCAAACCAAACCAAACCAAACCAACTCCGTGCCAAAACCCACCGGTACCTTCAGCCTCTTGGATGTCCAGCTCCGAGAAAGGGCTGGATCCAACCCTGCTCGCCTACCCAGGAGGGGTTTATGCTGGCTGGGAAGGAATTATTTCAAATCTCCTCGGGATGAAGTGCTCAGATTGAATGTGCTTAGAAACACAGATAGATTTCTTTGGGAATAAACTTCCTGGTGTGCGGAAAGTGTCGTCCCTGCTGGGGACGAGTTCCCCATCATCCTGACATCTGCGGGCATGGTAACATGACAAACAAAGGTCTGGTTGTTCCCTGAGTGTCTGTGCATCCAGCCTGGATCTGGAGGGTCCCCTTCTTGTCAATAGCTAATGGGCTCCAGGACTCCTCCAGCCTTAAAAAGGAAATGACAGCATCTAGGGAATGAATTGAGTTGAATTTAATTTGCTTCTTCCAAATTTGCTTTATTTTGGAGCATTAGCAGCGGGCAGGAAAGGGCAGGTTTCCTGCTAAGTTCTGTTGAATAAGTCAGCCAGTGCCAAGGGGTGAGTCTAGTCAAAACTCTTTGTTTTGGAGTTGCTTGCTGTGACAGCAGAGTGTTTTCTGCTAGGGGATAGTGAGTGGGCACTTCCCTGAAGGTGGGAGAGAAAAAGGGGAACCTGCTTGTTTAAAATGTAAAGCATCAGGCTGAGGTGGAAGAGGGTGGGAATGCAACCCTGCCAGCTCTGACTAGCACCGTTGGAGGATGTGGATGGCAGATTTGACTCCTAGTTAAACAAAATCCAGCATGGAAGTGCTGAGGTTTTCTGGCACAAAGCGTCTCGCCAGGCATATTTATGAGAGAGTTGAATGGCTGGGGAGTGTTATTTAGTCTCCTGGGTTATCTCTTTTGATTTTTCACCCGTGATCACAGAAGAAAGAAGCTGGACCCTGTATTACATTAGAAAGTGGCACCTCGGTGCTCAGTGTCTCTTAAACCCATCACTCTGTTGTCCTGCTTTAAAGCACATGCTCACACACACTGGAGATGAAAAAAAAAAGAGGAAGAAAGAGAAAAAGCCATGAGCTGCTGGTGCTGTTCTTATTTCTGACAAGCGTGGGAGTTTTCTTGTAACCAAGATACAGGGACAAAGAACCCCCAGCATTTTATTTTCTTTAAGACCCTCCTCCTTGAAGAAAAGAATCAGTTTGGCTCATTCTTAAGCAAGTTTGGATGTCTTGGCCATAGAGATTTCCCATGGCACTTGCTGGGTGAATTGGTAGAGCTGGAAAAATGTAAACTATGGTGAGGGAATTCCTGGAGCTGCACTCTGGTGGGGGTGAGGTCAGGAGATCCTGGTTGGTTCCCAGCAAGTGCTTGGATGAGGGTGAGATCCAGCCTGGTGCTTTTGTATTTTATTTTTCATATATTTTTAGCAAACTTGGTCTGTAAATCATCACATCACTTCCACATCAGCACGGCCAAGTGACCTGCAGGACCTGCTGCTGCTCAGGGTGGGTTCTGCTAAGACAAAACACTGAAGTGATCAGGCCAAGATCATCAATAAATTATAATGACGTGAACTTCCTTTGTTCCTCTCATGTCTCTGCTCTGCTTCATTTGATACTTTGAACTCTTCACAGTCTTCCCTGCATGTTGCCAAGCTGTGTCTCCCACGACAAGAGTCCCAGGAGTGAAAATCCTGGCTCCTTTCTGGTCTGTGGAGATTTAAGCCTCTGATTTCACTGGGGAGAGGATTTCAGCACTGGGATTTCCCACTTCAGTTTTACAGCACAGCCCTGTGTTTCTTTGCATCCTCTCATCTCTGCCCCTCAAGGCCTCACTGGAGCTTTTCAGAAATGATGAACAGAAACATGAAACAACCGCCCCCCAAAAAAACAACCAACCAAACAAAAAACAAATTAGGATTTGGGGCTGCACTGCTCTGTGGAGTTGGTGTTATGAATTAGGTGCAAGTAGCTGTGGCTGCGAGGAGGTGTTTGCATGCTGCAGCCTGAATGCTTCCCTGGAAAGAAAAAATACAAATAAAAGAAGGCAGAAAACAAACATATTCATCATTACAGTGTGTGCTCCCAAAGAAAAAGTTTGTGGTCCAGGCAGAGAGCAGAACAACGCGTGAATTGAAAGAGCTGCTACACAATGTGAATACCAAAGAGATCTCCAGCCCCCCCGCCCCGGGCTGAGCGCTCAGAGCAGAGCTGAGAGCGTCTGGCTGAGGAAAATCAGGGCTGGGTCCCCAGCGGTTTGCTAATCAAGAGGGGAGAGAATGCTGTAGTTTGAATAAATCATTTGCCATGTTCCAATTTTAGGTTATTGTTTCCTTGAAATGGCCACGTCTGGCTCTTGCTTCAGGGGGAGGCTGTGGGAAGGTTCTGGCTCTCCCTCCCTCTGATCCCGGTGTGTGTCACTGCCCCTGATCCTTCCCTTCTTCCCCATCCACCCCTGTCTTCAGCAGAAGTTTGGGTGAACGTTGGCTGTGACATAGAGGAGGACTGTCAGCAAGGGGTGGGGTGTTTGTAGCCCAGCATTTGTGTGTCTCAAGGCTGTTGTCACCTCCCAGTTCTCACTCTGGCCAAACACTTCTGCCATTCAGGGGCTGATAGTACCTACAGCTCTTGTTCATCCCTCCCAGCCAGCTGCCTTTGGGCAGTTGCATACTGAGAAACACGAGTGAAGCTTAAACAAGGCATAGGCCTCCCCAGGAAAAAAATCAGGACCCTGTCAGGGAGCCTCTGTAAAGGGTTAGGAAATGTCTCTTGTAGAAATTAGGGTTGCAAAGGCTTGTCAAGGTCAGGATTTCTGAACCTTAGTGGTGTGACAGAGGCTGTTGCACCCAGCAGGACTAAGAACTGGGTGGGTCATAGTGAAAGCCACAGACAAGGGCAGAGAAATATTAAAAAATCATAGTTTTGTTTCTCTCCTCTTTGCCAGGGTGAGACTGCACCCAACTGGTGTATTTTCTGGAGCAGGAAGTGATTGTGCACTGAAGGCACTATGTGAATTTATTTCCACCAAGCATGGAAAAATTCCCTCCCTCCTCATGCCCTGTCCCAATAAATCAAATAACTGTAGTTTCTTTACATTCTGTCCATGGATTGAGAGCTCAGATGCCAAGCAAAGCCTGGAGACAATTTTACAGATACATTATAAATCCCTCTAGAGTAAGAGCTTCTAATGGAAAAAGTGACTAATACTTCAAATAAGCACAGAACAAGGCGCCCTGGGATGGGGCTGCGTATCGAGACTAACCAAAAGTAACTACATACCTTTATTTATTTATTTTCTCCTGCTCTCTTTCTCCCTCACGCCCTTCTCAGCAATGCCTTTTTCATCTCTTACAGAAGAGGGAGATCAGTTCTAGATACTATTTGAATCCAGCACAGATCCTTTTTTAACTGCTCTCTGGTAACTACTGTGGTCATGTCAGTTTGATGGAGGTATGAAGGGGTGAAAGGGTGAAGGCAGAAGGAGACTGGGGCAGATGGGGGCTGGGATTGCACCACAAGTCAGGCAGGGCAGGATCTGGGGGAAAAAAAACAAACAAAACAACCCATGAATTAAAGTAGGTGGACTTATCTGGATCAGCACACGTGGGTTGTGAGAGGGAGGTGGTGGAGCATCTTCCTACCCAAGGTAAGGAGTGAGCAGGACTGCAGCATCTGCACTTTGGGGGCTGTGATGGTCCTTTTCTTGGCTTTCTCCTTTCCATCCCAGGGATGTTTTGAACTGGAGGCAGGGTGAGGAGAGCAGGACCTGTCTCTCCCCTCCTCTGCAGCTGTCTCTGGAGTTGTGGCAGCTTGATGCATCTCCTGAGGGAGGCCTGAGTTCCCCCAGCTGTGGTAGGGCTGAGCACAAAGCATTTGAGACAAGAGCAGGTGCAAGAGGAAGCACAGTGTCCCTCTGCTCATCACGCTGCTCAGGACCTCTCCAAAATTACCTTGTGTTTTCCCAGGCTACTTATCTCCTTTTTGGTTTGTGCTTAATTTACAATCCCTCCAGGGAAGGAACTATAATGTATAAGCACAGCACCCAGCACCATGGCTTGAACCTTTCCCAGAGACCTGGCTAAATAATAACAGAAGTCTAAGGACTACGTTTGACAGATGCTGTCTTCTCCGTGTCTGTTCCAGACAAAGGAAAATTAAAGCTGTGCCAATAATAGAGCTCGTCAGCATTTTCCACTGAAGCTGAGTTTCAGTAGAAACCTGGGGATTTGACTAAATGAATATTTTCATGAGAAGTATCTGCTTTCCATAGACAATTCTGAGTTTTTCTCCCAAGTTTTGGCCAGAATATTTTGGCAAAAAATCAAAAATGTGCTGGCAGGGTTTTGCTGTGCTGGAAAACATTTTTAATTTTGGAGTTGTGGAGCTTTTCTTCCAAACACTTGAATTTTTGCATGAGATTTTTCTTTTTTTCTTTTTTTTTCCCCCTTCTTTTCCTGAGCAGCTGGAGTCAGCACTGCTGTAGCACAGTGGGTTAAGCCCCAGAGCAGCAGAAGGGTAAGAGGAGCTCAGGGCATGAGTTCCAGACG